ATTTTCTGCACCCGATGAAAGAGTATGTTTACTTCAAAGGATGTAGTATATAGACATATTTTAGCATTTACGTAATCTCATTGCCAATAAACATTAAAGTATGAAATTTTGTAAAGATTATGACATAAATATGTCCGTAGCATCTGCATTTGAAAAAAATGTCCATAGCATGCGTGTTCAGTACCATGCACAAAAAGTTGTATGTATACTCCAAATTCCAAAAGGTGGTATACGTGTAGTAGTTGTAGTATGGAGTATAATTCGAGATGGAGTATATGTCATATAATTTTTTAAACAGGAGTGCGTGTCACTACTTAATTCGAGGCACGTATAAAGTAACGTATTTTCAGCAAGGGAGTATGGAGTTTACATACTTCAACTTGAAAGGAGTATGTAGTTTATATACTTCTGCTTGAAAGGAGAATGGAGAATGCCATGCATACAACAGAGTATGTTTATACAAAAAGAAAAATAAGTACTTTTATACAGCCAATGAGCCATAGTATATGATTTACATATATTTGCTGCATGCGTGATGTCATGCATCCATCACACGGACTTAACACGATTGTGCCACATCCATGTGTGAACCATGTTCTCATATGTACGTTGTTGCCGCCGACGCGCCGGGGCAGTCATCTGTCGGCGATGTACTTCGATACATATGTTGTATTTGGCCACGTTGCGCCAGAGCACGTATCAGTCGCATGCATCAGCCACAGTTCATCGTTGTCTCCGCTGCAGCACTGGAGCAGTTATGTGGTTGTCGATCGTTGCCGCCGCACCCGACAGGCTAGCCTTCGTGCAGGTCTTGAAACGCCGACGAACAATCGCATGATTGGGAGGAATAACTGCGTGCAGGAAAGGAGACTCGGCGGACGTCAATGGCTGTGCAAAAGAATCAATGGTTATATTGATGTACATGTGCCTAGAAATCTGGATCAAAATATCAAATCCATTGTAGACGCATGGAAATCACGGGAAGTAGTTCACGTTGCATACCTCCTTTTGCAATTTGTAATCGCTACAGCCGGTCTAATTTCTTGGGATAGCTTTTGATTTCAGCGCAGAGCCGTGAATTGAGATTAGATAAAAGGAGAGAGAAAGAGAAGATCTTTTAGATGAGATTGGTACGATCCTATTTTATATGGGTCCAGTCTAGCGCCAGGAAAATCGGAAGGTTAGCGATAGCACTCACGAACGGGTAGAAAAATATCCGATTCTTTCGTGCCCACGACCCGTTAAGAAATCTACAGATCTGATGCAATCCGACGGCAATCAAGGCAGGGGTAACTACCACCTAATGGTAGAATGGATTTTTCCTATATATATATATATATATATATATATATATATATATATAAATATATTCATATAGTACTTAACCAATTCCTTGCTATGGTTAACAAGGTCAGTGCTCTACTGTCAGTCCCATGCACAAATTAGTTTGCACTAGAAGCAACATTCCGTGTGTCCACCTCAAATCTCGTATGTCGTCATGCATGTTAAATGCAATTTTAATTGTAATGTGTGTACAACAACATGATAAAGCTGTATGGATATGTAGATCGCAAAGTCAAAAAGTAGCGTGGATCATCAGGAAGTTATGATAGCACGGCAAGCAATCGAAGAAGGCCGTGGACTTGTTGTGGTTGTCAACAAAATGGATCTCCTTAGAGAAAACCAACGGTTGTTAGAAAAAGTGATGGAGGCTGTTCCTAAAGAAATCCAGACAGTTATTCCTCAGGTTTGTTTCTAATTGTTTTGTTATTAGTTTGTAACATACTTCCTCCGTAAAGAAATATAAGAGCGTTTAGATCACTAGGGAGTACTTGTCTTCGACATTGAAAAAATACTTATGATTATCGATCACTATGGCTATACTATTGTTTCTATATAACAGAATATGATACTCGTAACATCAATACTGGTAGTAAATGGTAACTAGTCTATAGGAGGTGTTCCTTGATAAAAATAAGTCTACAGAAGATTCCCTTCAAAGATTTAGTAATTGGTAATTATAGTCTATAGGTGGCGCTCCTCGTTGATCCAGAAAAAACAAGTTGTTTGGAGCCTTTCATTTCTGATTAACTTAACCTTCCTTTTCTCAATTTTTGTTATTTGAACACATCACAGTTGTTCTGGATAGCTTTCTAACTCTTTATTCATTAACTCAGTCACAAAATTTATGATGAGCTGCTTTCTTTCTGATGAAATTGATATTTGGTTGGTTATCACACATGTAGATGCCTTACTTTGTTTTTGAGTATAGAGACTGAGGTCATAGTCACAAAACTGCTTATCTTTTGACAGTGCTCCACTACTGCAAATGCTGAGTCTAAATTCCACTACTTACCATGTGTGTTTCAATAATGTGTGGAATATCTTTTAATAGTAATATCTGCTGTCAATTCTTATTGGGGCCAACAGTTGGTTACCAAGTCCAGTTGGACTTGTATGCAGAGACGCAAGAGCTTTTTCCGGCAGGAAGTCATGCTGCCAAGTCCTAGTAGGGTTATAGCAGTCTGAGTCTAGAGTTGGTGGAAGAGACAAGGAGGGATTCAGAGTATGTCGAAAAACCGAACCTTAGACTGTTTTAGGTCCATGTTCAGTAGCACTAAGAGTTCTGTATGTAATCTTTTAGTTCAAGCGGTAATAAAATTATCATCTGCATATGCTCTCCCGACCTAGTCTACCCATACAAGTGTACAGCCTCTGCATCAAAGGACACATCAATAGCAAGAATGTTTACTTTTCTAAAGCCTGTGTATAAATTGAAAAATTAAAGCCCTCTCACCAAAAAGAGGGATCAACCACATTGCGGAACTTTTAATTTGCTTCACATTTTCTGACGGCAACAGCAGATCTGAAGTCTTTTAATCTTGTTTGTCTTGACAGGTTACAGGAATACCAGTTGTGTTTGTGTCAGCAATGGAGGGCAGGGGGCGGGTTGCTGTTATGCACCATGTTATAGAAACTTATGAGAAATGGTGTTTTAGATTGTCAACTTCACGCCTGAACCGCTGGTTACGTAAGGTAAGCATCCTGCTTGCATTACTGTTACTTAATTTGCATATTATGGTGTGTGCCTAGTAGGAACAACCATTAAAGTAGAACAGTAAGATCGTAAGTCTTGAACATTATATTCAATCTAGAATGATACAGATAACTAGGTGGAATTGCACGAGTGCAGAGTAGAATGATTTTCGGGGGTGTCTTGGCAATTATTAGCGATTTTTAGTGGTTGATCTAAGCCATCTATGATACTATGTCTCAGTTTACTGTTTTAGGAATAGTTCTTATTTGAAATGTTTGGTTATCTATCATTCATGTGCTTTGAGCCTGCTACTTTATCATGTACAGTATATATTTGTGACTGCTGAGTTCATTCATGTCACAGACACTTACATTACTTCGACTGTTACCTCCAATTCCCTCTGACAGGTTATGAGTAGACATTCATGGAAAGATTCAGCCACACAGCCCAAAGTGAAGTATTTCACTCAGGTGAAAGCGCGGCCACCAACATTTGTCGCCTTTATGAGTGGGAAGACTGAACTATCTGATACAGATATCAGGTTCTTGACAAGATCTCTCAAGGAAGATTTCAACATCGGGGGAATACCAATCCGGATCCTGCAGCGTTCTATTCCAAGAAAAGTGTCGTCTTTCAAGAGCAATATCAAGAAAAGAGGATCTACTATAAAAAGGATGAAAACAGACAAAAGAACAGAAGTGCCTGATCCCACTCAGACATGATTTTACAATGTCACCAAAGCACCTCCCGATTCTCAGAGGACCTGGTATTTGTGTACCATTCATAAGGAAGTCATTAGTCATGACCTGCATACTTCCGTTGGAGTTAAAGATGCAGAGGAAATCCCTGTCATTATACAGACTAGCAGAGGAAACAGAAAGCTGCCGCCTACCAAGCACAGCATGTGGACAGAAGAAAGGGGGCTTGAAGTGATCAACATTTAAAAGTGAGGATCACTGCAAGAAGCAAGCTCAGCATTTTCAATTTGCAAATAGGGCATTTTCTCGTAGCATTGGGAAGAGCTGAGCTCCAAACACCCGTGGTTAAGGTTGAAGACAGAACTTCTCAATATTATGGTAGAGAAACAGGTGGTTGGTATCTTGGAGCGTCGAGGTTCTTGTAAATTTATCGGACAAAGACATGTCCATTTCCCTTCTTGTATTCTCCTATATAAATAAGAGAATGCTCCGACAAGTATGAAATGTTGCGGATCATGGCCAAACTACGAGTTAGATGTGTTTACATAATGTTTTTTTTTTGCGGGGGGTGTTTACATAATGGTTAATGTACTCTTGCTGTAGAAGTTCCCGACCTGACCTGACAACGTTGTTTTTGAGATGGACAAATCTTTGTAAAGCTCGTCTGTTATTTCCTTTGTATTTCTTGAACTCGATTCTGTGAACTACCGCCATTTCTTTTGAAATTAACTCAAGTATCAGTTCCAAAATTCGAATGGCGCTTTCGCAGTATGGTTTTACGGCTATTTTTATTCACCTGCATTTTGTTTCTGTGATCAACGGTGATTGTGGTTGATATGCAGTACTCTATGGTACTACTCTCTCTATCCCAAAATAAGTGTCTTTAACTTTGTACTAACTTTAGTATCAATCTGTCATCAATGGCCTGGACTTTCACTACCAAGTTCTTTACGATTTTTTTTTTGAACTTAGAGTTCTTTACGAGATTGCTTTGCTGCAACACGGTTGGCGGGGGAGAATAACGTGACACCACGAGTCAGTTGCACGAGATAAAAGCGCGCGGTGCCGAACGCAACGCAACGCAACCCGGCACGCCGCACGCCGTGCGCGCGGAGGCCAAGGCGAAGGTGAGACGCAAGTACGCAACGCATATCCATCCCATCCGGCCAGATTCCAAGCCCAAAGTTGAACGACACGCCGCACCTCCCTCCAAGCCGCCTCGGGAAAAAAAACTAACCGCGCCACCACCATCAGTCCATCACCATATGCCAAGCTCCTCCTCCAACCCCTTCCACTGCTCCCTCACCTCCAACCCCCCTCCCACCTCCTCTCCATCTTCCTCGTCTCCGGCCCCGCACCTCGCCGCCCCACCCCTCCTCCCCGTCTCCCCGGCCTCCGCCGCCCCCTCCTCTTCCTCTTCCTCGTCCGCGCCCAATCTCAGGCCGCAGCCGCAGCGGCTGATGGCCGGCCCGGCGGCGGTCGGCGGCGGGAAGGGGGCGGCAGGAGGGATTAAGGTTGGCGGGAGCGGGGGGCCCGCGTTCGTGGGGCAGGTGTTCACCATGCTTGACCCCTCCGGGAACGGCCTCATGGCCGTCACCAAACGCTTCGACCTCCGGCACTTCATCGCCGACAGGTACCCTTCCCTTCTCAGCTGCTGCTGCTTTCCGTGCAGCTCTAGTTCGTGATGGCAATATGGCATACCCCACGCTTGGGACTTTCGGTAGCATAGACGAGATTTCGCTTTTGGCTGAGTGGGGATCGAGGGGGAATGTGTCAGGCTTTAGCTGCCTTTTCAAGTGTGTGCTGGAAATTACACGTTTAGTGTAGCTGTGTTGGACAATCCTCGCGGAAGTATGCAACCAACTGAGCTAATATCTGTACCATCAAATATTTCGTGATTTTGATACAATTTGCGAATCTACCTAGCAATGAGGGAGTGTTGCGGCTCTACTTCAGGTTTCAGCATATTTGTCACCTAGGACATCTTTAAACCTGAGAATGGTTACTAAAAAACTGGGTGAAACGGTTCGGTTCTTACTTTGGGTTTGATTGGTTCAGGTTTTATTGGGTTGAATCTTTTTTAGTTTGGTTTTGGTTTGGGTATGTGAAGAAACCAATTTGGGTATAGTTGGTTATGGGCTTAAACAATTTGGTTATTAACGGTTGTAAACTGTGGGTCCAAACCGGTTTCTGAGCATTGGTTATGTGCAATAAGCAAGGACGCATCGGCAACGAGTATCTTTGATCCGCGTACATGCTGTGATGCACTATGTAATTCCGTATTATGGGGAAACACCACATGCAAATCGAATGTGTTTGCTTGTGCTTTAGCTAAGCAACTAGTTTTAATACACTTGTCAGTGAGCTTTTCGGTCGTGGGCATTGTCTTTTTGACTCTTGCTGTGTGTTGAATGTATCTCAACGATAACTTTGTTCCCAAACTGTTGTAGATGCACTTATGCCTTTTCTATGTCATTTGCTTCTTAACATGTCAATTTGTGCAATCATATATACATTGAAGCAAACCCATAGTTATTATTGGGTTTAAACCCATGGTTATGTATTGGGTTTAAATTGGTTTGGGTGAAAAAAAAATAGAGGGTTTAGTTTTGGTTGGGCTGAAAATGGCATTAAACGGGTGTGGTTCAAGTATAGTTTTGAGAGATACATGTACGGGTATGGTTCAAGTATGGTTTAAGTATGAAACTATTCTCAAATTTAGATGTCATGCTGCTCCCCACCAGTAGAGCTTTACACGCCCTATAAACTTCATTCCTGCTTTTCTTACTGATGTTTTACAGTATGATTGTAATCCTTCTTAGTGATTAATAAAGCTCCTTGATTCACAAATAAAATAAAACATGCCCTATCTGTTTTTGCAATCCTTCTTATTACAGCATCCTCTGCAAATCGCACGAAACTCGTCGTTAATATAGGGCACTGAAGAATCATGCTATGTTCTACTAGGCTATCTAGTGTTCCCTGTCAGGCCACAAGATCGAACCATATATGCTACCCTACATCATAACCCGATACAGTTTCACTAATATTGTAACCACATATGTCTATGTGAATATTTTGATTCTCTTCTAGAAAAGTACAAATTTCGCCAAGAAGTTCCAGTGCATAGCGGGCGGCTAAAGCGTGCGGAGAATGTCAAGAGAGGCCGGGGTAGACCGAATCTGACATGGGAGGAGTCCGTTAAGAGAGACTTGAAGGATTGGAGTATCACCATTCACCAGAGAACTAGCTATGGACAGGGGTGTGTGGAAGCTTGGTATCCATGTGCCAGAGCAATGAGTTGGTCGCGAGATCTTATGGGTTTCACCTCTAGCCTAACCCAACTTGTTTGGGACTAAAGGCTTTGTTGTTGTTTTGTACCGATGGTGGTCACTTAAATTACAAGTGTAATACGTGGTGTGACGTGGAGCAGTAGCGCCCATGGAATCCGCACCTTCTTCTTCCTCCTCTAGCGTTAGGTCATGCCATCCATATCGCGAGTGAAACAGTGATGAACATGAGAAACAGTTGTTGTTTTGTATCGATGGTGGTCACTTAAATTACAAGTGTAATACGTGGTGTGACGTGGAGCAGTAGCGCCCATGGAATCCGCACCTTCTTCTTCCTCCTCTAGCGTTAGGTCATGCCATCCATATCGCGAGTGAAACAGTGATGAACATGAGAAACAGACTTCACCGAGGATGATGTCCGAAGAAAGTGTGCTGCCATGCGAGTAAGGGGAGGAGGCTGTGTGCCGGTTGGGACAAGCCGGGAGGGGCAGTCACACCCTCGATCAAGTGGACCATGCATACCCATTCTAGCGATCATTCATGCACTACCTGACCGACACAAGCTCGTCGTCCTGTGGGTGTACCAAAGCACACCTCTTGATCAAATCTATCAAAGCTGTCACTGGGTCTTGTGTAGTTTTGTTTTCTCTAGAGATCATATTCACGGCTCTTTTGCTTTACAGGTTGGTTGGTATACATGACATACTCGATTGTGCATTCATATAAATTCGTGCAGTGTAATCATTGTTTTAAGTACATACAGCACCACTGTTTGCTGCACATAACTTATTAATGTATGCTTGAGGAAGCATATCCATTTATTGTAAGTGGTGTCTATTTGTCATTATAGATTTTAAAGGAGTTTGTCTGTACTTGGGGGACTAAAGAAGTGTACTATACTTTTATAATTTAAATACTTTGATGGGTTAGATTACTCATTTGTTACTTCAAATGGCATAATTTTCACTGTTGCCTGCAGCATATAATTATGTAATAGTTGTAATAATATTTTGGTTGCTCGTTTTCTGTTTTCGAAACAATATTTTTCAGGACTCCTACATGGTTTAAAAGGATATTGTCACCATTGAAGAAGAGTGACAATGATCCAGTGTTTAGGTTTTTTATGGATCTGAATGATTCAGGTATTCTCTTTATAAATATTTTCTTTTCTTTATCTGCTGGATGCATTGTGAATTTAATAATGATTTAATTGGTGCACCAAGTTCTTTTATTTTTCTTTATATTATTAAATCTTTTGGCTACATTACAGCCACAGAGCATTCTTCTGTACAAAACCTCAGAATATTTTGGCAGCCTGGCATTTAGATGAGAGTGACAAGGTGTCACAGTCCTCCCCGTCTTGCCAGCTTCCTTTAGTCAGGCCCAAGAAAGCTAAGAAGTATTCTGAGCTGATGGGTAGTTCTGTGTTTCTAGTTTTTCCTGAACCCAAACCTGAGCATAGCCCCCCACACCCACCCACGCCCACATAGAGACACCAGAAGTTGTGCACCGGATGCTCAAGTGGACAGTTGCTGGCTCACAAAATAGAAGGTTTAGGATTGCCTGTTGGGCATGGTAAAAGCATTTCTCGGAGTCTTATTATCATGCATTTCTTTGAGTCTTATTGTCAGTATCATGTATTGAGTTCTATGCTCATTGCAAGCTTGGATTTCTTATGTCTACAAAATACAAATAACACTGTTGCTAAGCAATATTTCCTTCCATTAATGATACATATTATGCCTGATAGTGAATTCTGGATTTTACACAATTCAGTTCTTCAAATATTCAGTTATTTCAGAGAAATCCTTTAAGCTAACCCACTTCAACCTCTTCAGTATCCTATGTTAAGCGGCTAAATGTCCCAAGTGGTATGGTGGGGGCTTGTCGCCTTGATGTAGCGTATGAACATTTCAAGGTATATGGCAACAAGAAATTGCTCTTGTGATATTTATGCGATTCAATATCACACTGATATTATACTATTATGCATGAATTTGTTTTCAACAAGTTTGGTTGCTGAGCACTTCAAATCTAGTACTTCTTCATAGTATGCTACTCTATCTGGATAGCATAACCCAGTAGGTTTAAATTTCCATTTGCTACATGATATTGCGATGTGTTTGGTCAGTAATAAAATATGCGGTTATTACATCATGTATTGGAAAAACACTTCCAAATTAGCTTCCATGGATCTTTGAAGTGATCATAAGTGTAGGTGCTTATGTTAATATAAATTTTAACTTCTAACTCCTAAGGCCTCCTTTGGTTCATAGGATAGGAATATTATAGGAATAGGAACTTCATAGGAAGTGAGATGACATGCATCTCAATTCCTATAAAGAAAGAGATGCCATTTGATGCATAGGATAGGAATTTTTCCATTGAGTCTAGGCTAATGTTTTTTTCCCTTTGAAATGTGAAGGATTGGACCCTATCCTACATAGGATTAGGAATCCATTCCTACAAACCAAAGGGCTCCATAGGAATTTTTCATTTGAAAATCCTATCCTATGAAATTCCTATAAGATTCCTACAAACCAAAGGAGGTCTAAGTTTCCACACCAGATTCTTTCCTTACTTCTCAACATGGATGCATACGCTATGGCATATGTTTTTTACGAGTACTGACACCAACTGGCCGTGGTTTGAAATATACCACATTGACACTATCCATACTGCAGATCACCATTTGAAAAAGTGTTTTTGTATTTCCAGATGCTATTTGGCTATTTAATTCCAGTTTGCTCTTTGAGAATGTCTATTCATTTGTTGCGCAGCATAACAATATTTGTACTCTACAGTTGAATGTTCCAATAGTTCATGTCAAGCTCAACTTTTTCTTTATTGAACATTAAGTTTATAGCCTGCTTTGATAGTACTGGCATTGAAAAACTGCATTATCTGCACGTGTCTTGGCTGCAGTTGCTGTGCAGCAAGCTGGTAGCAGTAATAGGCTTGTACGTGCATATTTGTGAAGGTGTAGGATAAAGTAGAAAGAGCTCAAGTGTCCATGTTGGATATGGATTCTCCTTTAAAAGTTAAAATTAAGTAGAGTCCAATTAAATTAGGATTTAGGAATATAGTCAAGAGTTTCTGTTGTTGTCCGATTTGTGTATCAAGTTAGCTGTTCTATATAAAGGACAAGCATGCACTCATCTTTTAGGGTCAATAATTAACGAAGTTCCAATTAGCCTCAGAGCCTCTCTTCTTTGTTGGGAGTGAGGCCAGACACCATATTTGTAAATGTTATGCACTATGCTTGGTGTATTGTTATGGCCCAATACATATACACAATACAAGGTGTGAAAAGTTGAAGAGAATCTCCTTCGATATACCTTCTTTTTTTACCTTTAAGCATTATACATATGGCATGTTGCGTTCAATGTATTCAGGAAAATTGTTGTTTTGCAGGAAAAGCCTCACATGTTCCAGTTTGTTCCAAACGAGAAGCAGGTTTGTGCTTAAATATTTCAGTTTTGCAAATAACTTAACATGTGAACAGAAACTAATTTTCTTCTCCTTTTAGGTCAAAGCTGCTAATAAGCTCTTAAAGTCAATCCCACAAAGGGGCAGAAGGAAAAAACTTGCCGGTGTTCCTGTTTTTAGTGCTCAAAATTTGAATATTGCAGTGGCAACAAATGATGGAATTAGATGGTATGGATTAAATTCTTTATTATTCTCCATTGATCATTCCCCCACTATTTTGATCATTCCCCCACTATTTTGATCATTCCCCCACTATTTTGTCAGGTTCCTGTCAAATGCTACTCTGGAGATCCACCTTTCAGATTTACATTTGCTTCCTTTTTTTAGTTAATTCGTTTTTTTGTCAAGTATGCTTCTGTTTAACAATTTCCCTTTTCTGCATGATATCCTTGGTTCCTGTCAAATGTCAATTAGGTTGGATTATCTGCATATGGTCCATTTACGCGTGCTCTTAGACTCTGCTATGATGTTTCATATGTTATTTATGTTGATTCTTGTGCATACTAGATGCTTCTGCCTATGCCAGCAGAAAATAGGAGATTGTCATGTCTTAAATATTTCATGAAAGCATAACATGAATTTCACTGCTCATGAGTTCAGGTATTCACCATACTTTTTTGATAAAAACTTGTTGGACAATATTCTCGAAGCTTCAATGGATCAGCATTTTCATTCAATGATTCAAAACCGCCATATACAACGTAGAAGAGATATTGTTGATGATAGTTTAACATCAGAAATACTTGAAGAAAGTGCGGACAGCTTGCTTGAGCCCCCAGAGGTACTATGATCATTCAATGCATAGAAAATATTTAAATTCCTATTTTTAGACTGTTGGCCTCATATTTTGAGTAACTATTATGCAGATGCAAGAATTGATGAATGAGATTGGTCCAGCTGGAATACCATTAAGTGTTGTAACAAAAGCAGCTGAGATCCAGTGTCTTGATGTTGTTGATAGATTACTTTTAGGAAATAAGTGGCTCAGAAGAGCTACTGGCATACAACCACATTTTCCTTATGTTGTTGATTCATTTGAAGAAAGGTACCGATGCAATACCACGCTTATATTAGCCTATTTCTTCTCTCAATTTTTGTAGAATTGTTCCTTCTTCTGTAGTGACTTATGGAGGGAGACTAACTACCGAAGTTGTTAATTTGTATTTAGAGGCTTTCCGGATTTGGATTGCATTTAAGTGTGCATGACCTAATTTTGCATATTTAAATAAGTATAGTATCATAACTTGATAGCTTGATGGCCATACGTAGTATAAATTGTTAAAATGCCAAACCTCTAGGTTCATTTAGAGGCTGTTATTGTAATATTACCTCCGTCCCAAATTACTTGTCTTAGATTTGTCGTGTCTAGATACATCCAGAGGGAGTATAAGATATTCGATTATCTGGCCTCAAGGGTGGAAGTCAAACTTATCTTTTGGAGAGCTACAAATAGGAACTTTTGAAACTATTGAACAAGCAAAATCCATCTCTTTGTTGTATCAGTAATAGCATAAGCTATTTGATTAGTGTCCATTATAGCCTTTGCATTGCCTTCATTTTGAACTACTAACATCTATATTTTGTTCAACCTTCCAGGACAGCAGTTTCAGTTGACAGGATTGCTACCTCCAGTAATACTTCAACTGCCTCTAAGGATGCTGACTGCTGCCCAACTGATCAGCAGTCTCAAACTTTGGAGTCAAACATTGATAGCGGCAACCACAGAACACACAATAGCCGAGATCATGGCCGGTCTCACTTCCCATTTAGCAATCTACTTTCTAATATATGGCCAGGGCACGATAGAATGTTCAAACGGCAAGAAAATGACTCCAGATCCAGAAGGTTTGTTCTTCAACGGCATCCTCTTTCGGTCTTCCCCCTTTCTCGTTCATGGTCATGCAGAAAAGCATGTGTTGTGGGGTGTATCTCTTGATCTCACATGAAGTCAGTTGACACTGGACCAAACGTGGCTTAAATTTTTGGAGCAAAACTGTTTTAAAATGATAATTTATCCTACTGTTGTTTGGTTAGGATTTATCTGTATTGTCTGTCTACTTATTTTTGGGTCCTCTTGGTTTGATACACAGATATGATTCAAGCATGAACAATGATTTGCAAGCAAACCCTCTTCTACCCAAAATCACCATGGTTGGCATCTCAATGAGCGAAGGGGGACAAATGAGCAAAGCCAACCTAAAGAAAACAATGGATGACTTGACAAAAGAGTTGGAGCAAGCAGGCGAAAAAACGGTCTTCGGCGATGAGAAAGATCCGCTGTTTGTTGCCAACGTTGGTGATTACTCCAGGATTACAAAGTTTAGCTCGACATGAAATTCATTTTTGGTACACGAGATTCATTCTCACAAAGCACAAGTATGAGCACCGCCCCATGCTTCTCATGAAGAGCTTCTGATTCAGCTACTCATCCAGTCGATCCTGGCGCATACTTGATGTCTTCACAAAATTAGCTGAACGTGTCAATATTTAACTTCAGAGTGTCATATGGCGCTGCAAACGGCACGAGGTCTCGTATGTATGTTTGTAAAAAATTTAGGTGATGCAAGCATTGATTGCCCATGGTTTTGACAGTACATGAGGATTGAGGACGCACACCGGCATGCGGTGGTTCTGCAAGATGTTCCTGTTTCCTTTCTCAGAATTTGACAGAAACGGTCTGCCAAAGGATGCTTGTCGATGCACATGTATATGTATATTGAGCGCTTACTGCCATTGTATGCACAACAAACTACTGTAAGGAATCCCCGCAAAAAAAAAAAAAAAACTACTGTAAGGAAGTTTGTTGGTCTGAGTTGGTCATGAATTATACGGTGTATTTGTATTTTATTCCAAACTAAAACAACGTCACTTATTTCCTGATGGAGGGAGTATTTGAAATGGTCGATGAATCAGATAACTGGAAGAACATATATAGATTGAAACAGCTCATACTGATTTATGTTGTTCTTGGCCAGAAAATTGCCGGAGGCTCCCTTGGACAGCTTATTTAATTTTGTTTGACAGAGCTCACTCCTTGTGTAAGGTGCTCACAACAACAGTCCCTTTCACCCTTGAACTAAATCTCAAGTCACAGTTAAATAGCAGCTGCTAGATTGAAAGTTTTCTCTACGTACAACAGCAGCTGTTTATATTTATTCAAAGGCAGACGATACATGCAATCGCCTGGCATCAGACGCATTTAGCCAACACTTGCCTTTCAGCTTTCAGTTTACCCCTGCCCTGCAGTCTTGTACTCTTGATTAATAGATTTAACTGAAATCAACTGTTTTCGCTTGGCTTTCCATCATTTTCCGAGTTCTCAGCAGCGGCAGCCGCAGCGTCCGCAGCCTCACCCAAACCCATCTTCTGCAGCGCATTCGCAAAGCCATCGACATCTGTGGCGGTGATTTTATAGGGCGTGTGACTGGGGCCAGGGAAAGACCGTGTCTCCACCTCTTGCTTGTAGTCTGATAGCGCCTTGTTAATGACACTGCCGACGTTGCCGAATTGCTTGCAGAATTTTGGTGTCACCTGCAGGCAGAGAAAATTGTATAGACTTGAGCTCGGCGCAAATCACATAACATGGTAAAATTTCTGGGCAACGCTGAAATGGACGGCCGCGTTTACCTTGGCATGGTGTGGATGCTGCATCATCCCTAACAAGTCATGGTACACCAAGACCTGCATGACAAATGTCTTGACATTAGGGTTTCATGAATGAACATAGACGCCAATTCTCTGGTTTTGGAATACATGGAAACACATATCTTTTTTCCTTCTGCATGGTGATAACAAAATATGCAAGACCAAGAGGATGCACAGCATTCAAGTGGCATATTTGACTAGGTTTCTTTCGGCACAAATTGTTCAAGTTGTCAGGGAAAAGGTGCTTACTGTGCTAAAGTCAAGCATACACTGCTATTTTTTCGCAAAGGAAAAAGTGAAGCATAGATTGCGCATGCCATGAGGAATTGCTTACATAGATAGAATAAATACAACTAACAAAATTATGATTCCTTGAAAATCAAGATCAGAATCAGTGTATGGATAGAGCATGAAGAATAATTGTACCTGCCCACTGCAGAATGGCCCAGCACCGATGCCAATGGTTGGGATTTTCAATGCTGATGTTGCAGCTGCTGCCACCGGAGCTGGCACACACTCCAACACAACCGAGAAGCAACCAGCCTCTTGCAATGCGATTGCTGTCTCTACAACCTGCACACACAAGCAGAATAACATGGAGCAAAATGTATGTCAAGCCACAGGTCATGATACATGCTAACAGCCAAATTGCCAGCAAAAACAAACTAGGCACCTTTATAGCACTATCAACTGTCTTCCCCTGTGGTCGAAACCCACCAAGTACACTAATAGCCTGCGGCGTAAGCCCAACATGACCCATGACAGCAATTCCAGCCTCCACAATAGCCTTAGCTGCACTGATCCTAGATGGAGCTCCTCCTTCCAATTTGATTGCATCCATTCCACCTTCTTTTAACACCCTCACCGCAGAGTCAACAGCCTGTAAGAAAAGGTATATTACATGAAAGCTCAAGTCCAAAATGCCTAGCTCTTATACACTGAAGTTGTAGATACCATTTGACACATGATACCGTATTACCATTCCACTACGATATGCGTCATATATTCATGTCTATCGCATTCAGCATGCTCATGAGTTGGGTTATCATTTTATATATTTTGAGATGTAGTGATGTAGCTGCATTTGCAACTAAGAAATAAAACCGAGTCTGAACCTCCTTTTTAGCTTAAAAAAAACTACAATACAGATAGATCATTGTGACAACAATATCAACGATCAATTGAACTTTATTAGCACATAAAGGTTGCACCATCAGTTTTCTGAACTCAAGGGTAAGGCTTTGTGAGTTGTGACAAACCAGAAGGGAATCAATCAAGGAAAATGGTAATCTCCTTAGAGCAGGGAACAGCTAACTCTACTCTACGGGACATGCAAAATTAGTGCCGTCACACGAACAAGCATAGCAATTCCTTACTGACGACAGCAAATGGCAACTGGAGAGGTTAATAGGGGGAGTACAAAGCATGTCACACCTACCACACCAGCAGTGGCAAAGAAGGAATTGCTAACGGGCGGCATTATGGCAATTTAATTTCTATGTCCACCGGATCGAATCGGAGAGGACGAGAATGGGAGGGACGCCCGTGGGGAACTACTACCTGCGTGGAAGAGGACTCGTAGCAACCGAAGGAGAGGTCGCCTACGAGGAGCGGGCGCGAGGCGCCTCGCGCCACGGCGCGGCAGTGCTCGAGCATGACGTCGAGGGAGATGGGGAGGGTGGTGTCGTGGCCGTGGACGACCATGGCGGCGGAGTCGCCGACGAGGCAGACGTCGATCCCCGCGGAGTCGACGTGGACGGCGGACGGGTAGTCGTAGGCGGTGACGACGGTGATGGGCTCCCCCCGGCGGTGCTTCCCGCGGAGGGTCGTCACCGTCACGCGCCGCGCCGCCGCCGCCTCCTGCGGCCGCGGGCCCCCGTAGACGGTCGACTCCGGCACGTTGCTCAGCATCCGCCGCGCCAGGCGCCGGAAGGCGTGCCCCGTCGCCATCGTGCGAAGCGGCGGCGTTCGAGTGGGAATCCCCGTTCGAGTGTGGTTGGTTGGTGCGACACGAGAGCGACGGGAGTCTTTGGATACTGAGAACGAGAATTTTGGGGGCCGGGCTTGGTAGGTTCTGAGTGCGTGTGCAAGGGTTTGCGTCGTACAGTCGTACTGTGTTTTGCAAGGGGAAATTAAAGCAACTCCAATGAAGCGACCATTTCGTCCGTCCGTGTTTGTTTGGATCGGCATGGACAAAAATAACGGCCCAACGTGCCGATTCAAACGGACGTGCGTCCGTTTTTCGTCCGCGGGCGACCCTTTCCAGGCCCAATTTTAAGCTGGATTTGTGTTGGCGCGGACACAAGACGGATGCGCGCGTGCACCTACTCCTCTTCTCGGGCCCGTCGGCCGGTGGCAGCCACCATCATTTTCCCATTTTCCTCAAAAACGCTCCCGCCCCCGCGCGCCCCGCCCCCCAACTAGCCATGAAGGATGCCATCGACTTCGACCTCGACGCCGTCGCCGGCCTCGCCTCCCTCGCCTCGTCCGGCGCCGTCGCCCCCTCCGGGAAAGGCAAGCCTCGTGCCCCGCGCAAGACCGCCGTCGCGACCAAGCCGAAGAAGGCGCTGACGCCCGAACAACGGGCAAGGGAGTCGGCCAAGAGGAAGGGCCGGAGGCACGTCGCGAACGCGAGGGATGAGGCCGCCGCGCAGCAGGAGTTCACCAACGCCCGCGTCGCCGCGACAACGAGGGAGGCGCTCTACATGCTAGGGGTAAACCCTAGCCAGCACAACGTCCTCCAAGCCGCCATCGTCGCGGCCAGCACCGGCTCGTCGGCATTTCCTCGAATGGTGATGCCCGACTCACCCCGCGCGTCGGCTTGCAACCCGGTCCCCGGCTTCCACGTCTACCCGCAGGCCTCCCGCCTCTCCGGGGAGTGCTCACCCGACGTGAGCGTGGTCGCGCCTTCCACGCCTGCGCCCGCGCCCATCGACCTCAACGCCACCCCGATGGTCGATGGCTCGTCGTCCGGCGGCACGAGGAAACGTGCGCGACAGACGGGAGCCCGTAACCTGTTCGAGGAAATGCCGTCCGTCGTCGATGAGGACTACATGCAAAACCTCATCTTCGAGGGTGGTGCGCCGTGCGCTGGCTACGATCCCGAAGAGGCACAAAGCCAGGACGGCCGCGGGATGTTCACGCCGCCCGCTGGCTATGATCCCGATGGAGATCCAAAGGAGGAGGCTTGATCTTGATCTCGAGGAGGAGCGCCGGCGTTTCAAGGCGGAGCAAATGAATGCTTTCATGGAGATCCAAAGGAGGAGGCTTGATCTTGACGCCGAGAAGCAAGCCAAGATGTTCGAGCTCGAGGCGGAGAAGCAAGCCAAGATGCTAAAGATCGAGGCCGCCAACGCCAAGACAAAGGCGAAAGAAGTGGCTCTTGTAAGCATGATGACCGGGGTGGAGATCATGAAGGTGGATCTCAACACCGTGTCACCAAGGAAGAGGTGTGGTTCGAGAAGATGCAGGCTGACATGCTCAAGTTCGACGACGAGTGATCTATGGCGTCGGGGGCCATCTTTTTTGTATGCCGACAGGTGTGCCGGCATGACCACGGGAGCCGCGACGGCGTGATCGAACTCAAGTCCCACCATTTTTTGTGTGCTGGCATGTGTGTCGGCCGGCTGGCGAGTGCGCCAGCATGAACTGTGGTATTTTATGAAGTCGACATTGTATGCCAGCGCTGGCATGGTGCCGGCATGAGACATGGCCGTTGACATGATCGGCCGCGGGCCTTTTTTATTTAAAAGTTGAATGTGGACATGAAATGAGTCGGGGCGTTGGGCGCACTGCCGACCCAAATGCAAAACTGGGCGAACGCCGGGCAGGCGACCGACCCAAACGGACAAAAAACGGACAAATGCGCCGTCCATTTGGGTCGCCCCATTGGAGTTGCTCTTACTACTGTAAAAATAAAAGGGGCAATGAAATGATTTCCAATTGGAAGTGGGTTATTTTTAACTTTTCTGCGGGATTTTTTTGGCCGCTGCTACGCGTCGGCCGGTGGAGATTCGCCGCCTCGCAAGACGTCAGTTCTGACGGACTGAGCAGCCAAGTGTCACCCTCTGTCATTTCAATAAAGATCGTGTCGCAGTAATTTTCTGCAACACGGGTCATATTGCAGATTCTTTTTATAAAACATAGGTCAAGTAGTAGATTTTGTGTATAATAAAGGTCTTGTTACAATTTTTTTTTGCAATGGAGGTCTTGTTGCAATTCTTTTCTTGCAATAGAGGGCTTGTTATCATCTTTTTGCAACAGAGCCCTTGTTCGATATAATTATTTTTGTAAGAGAGATCTTGTTATTGTTTTTTTTTGCAATAGAGGTCTTGTTGCAGAAAGGAGAAATCGTGGGAGCCAGGTTCACCACGTCACGTGGAACACATGGCGTGCAAGGTGCAACCAAGACAATGGATGCGAGCGTGATAATCCACCGACTGAACCATACCGTTTCCGATTTTTTCTACAAAGTTTTGGTAAAGAAATTTTCTGACTTGCACATCCATGCATACGTCACGATCAATACAACGCAATGAGAGGCCAGAACAACATGTTTTTCTTTTCCGGAAATATAGAATATATTGCAGAATGTCTTTATTGTCCAAAAACTAAAAGTAAACATGCAAATAAAAATATAAATATATACTAATGCAAGGATAAAAGGGGGAAATCGACCTCCTCAAGCATAGACTTTTGTCCTAGTTGGGTCTATTCCTCATCGTTACCACCGTGATGTGGCTGCTCCTCGTGAGGCTAGTGGTACATAGGAAGTGCCCGTGAAGAAGATGACGCAAGTGAAAATTGTTGGGGCTTCCCATAAGGTGGTTGATAGTGTGGCACATAGGACGGCTCGGTGTGGTGGGCGCTGGGAGCCCAAGATGTTGTAAACCCCTATAGTTTTTGGGAGGGCATGCTGATGTTGGTGTTGATGTGTTGGAGTGTCTGCTCCATCTTACCAACACATTGTTGTAGGATCGAAAGTAGGTCTAGAGAGGGGGAGGGGTGATTAGACTACTTGACCAAATAAAAATCTAATCTTTTCCCAATTTTAAGTCTTGGCAGCAAGGTTGTCAGAATTGTGATTCTGAATCGGATCGGAGCTCCGATGGCAGGATCACAAATCGTAGAATCTTCACTATCAGGATCGTAAAAACGTAGATTCTGTGAACCAAAATCATAGAATTAGAGGGGTTAGTTTGGATCGTAAAGTCATAGAATCGTACAACAGAATCGCAATTCCGACAACCTTGCTTGGCACATTTTAGCAACTTAACACAAGTCAACCAATCAACCTACACATGCAATTTTAAGAGTATAGCAGTGAAATGTAAAACACTGCATATGAAGGTAAAGGAAGGGGTTTGGAAGGGCAAATGCAATGTTGACGCGGAGATTTTTGGCGTGGTTCCGATAGGTGATGCTATCATATATCCACGTTGATGGAGACTTCAACCCACGAAGGGTAACAGTTGCGCGAGTCCACGGAGGGCTCCACCCATGAAGGATCCACGAAGAAGCAACCTTGTCTATCCCACCATGGCCATCGCCCACGAAGGACTTGCCTCACTTGGGTAGATCTTCACGAAGTAGGCGATCTCCTTACCCTTACAAACTCCTTGGTTCAACTCCATAATCTTGACGGAGGCTCCCAAGTGACACCTAACCAATCTAGGAGACACCGCTCTCCAAAAGGTAATAGATGATGTGTTGATGATGAACTCCTTGCTCTTGTGCTTCAAATGATAGTCTCCCCAACACTCAACTCTTTCTCACAGATTTGGCTATGATGGAAAGATGATTTGAGTGGAAAGCAACTTGGGGAAGGCTAGAGATCAAGATTCTTGTGGTTGGATTGGAATGTCTTGCTCTCAACACATGAGTAGGTGGTTCTCTCTTAGAAAATGAATGGTGGAAGTGTAGGCACATTCTGATGGCTCTCTCACAAATGGAGAGGAGGGTGGAGGGGTATATATAGCCTCCACACAAAATCTAACCGTTACACACAAAAGAGCTAACTTGGTCAGACCAAATATATAAACTCGGTGAGACTGATTCGGTTCAAAATGTGAACGTTAGAATTTTCGGTGGGACCGACATGATCAACTCGGTGGGACCAATGAGCTAGGTTAGGGCAAAACTTGATCTCGGTTTGACCGATTACTTCAACTCGGTGAGACCGATTCCAGTAACATGTATACAGAGAGTTGGTCAGGCAAACTCGGTGGGACCGATCGCTCCTTTCGGTGATACCGAAACGTTACGAAAGAGAAACAGAGAGTTTGCACTGCGAACTCGGTGGGACCAATCGCTCATTTCGGTGAGACCGAAACGTTACAAAGAGAAACAGAGAGTTTGCAGTCCCATCTCGGTGAGACCGAGCTGGTTAGGGTTTCTGGCAATGGCTATGTCAAGTGAATTCGGTGGCGCCGGATGAATCAAATCGGTGGGGCCGAGTTTGACTTTTAGGTTTAGGACATGTTTAGATTTGAGAAGATGGTTGAGGGCTTTGGAGCTTATCACTAAGCATTTTGAGCAAGTAGACCATTAAGCAACATCTCATCCCCTTTTAATAGTATTACCTTTCCTATGGACTCAATGTGATCTTGAATCACTAAAATAGAAATGCAGAGTTTTGAGCTTTTGCCAATATTGTGTTAGCATTTTGAGGGGTCCACATCTCTAGTCCATGCCATGCCAATCATTGAACTTTCTGAAATAATCATCTTGAAAGGATATTAATTCAATGAGCTATATGTTGTTATGAATTACCAAAACCACCCAGGGATTAGTTGCACTTTCAGTTGCACGAGCTATTGGAACTCCGGTTGAGGGATGAAGTGGTTGTAGCCGCCAAAAGGCTGATGCGGCGCATGTTGCTGCTCTCCTCTTCCATAGTCATCATCAACGACAACATCCCATGTAGTCCCCGTGCCCTATAGGGTTCTTGCCCCATTGATCTGCTCGAGCGCGAGGATCAACTCATCACGATTCGCACAACAAAAGCTAAAAGGAGAAGGAGGTGTACCAATTTCGTCCCTCCCATGACTAAATGGCAAGAATAAGAGTGATCATTAGGATAAGGAATATTATTAGGCTTCATAAAAGAAGAGTTAATCATGACAACCTTATTAAGCTTAGTGAAATCTCCTCCTACGACCATAAGCCTAGATAAATCAACGCCCAAGCGA